GCTCCTGCTGTCTTTTAGCCAAAGTCTGTTTTACCATCGCTTTGGAGTAGCCATACCGTTGAAGATCATTTCTGATGATGTCTATTTCCTTCTCGAGACCTTCCTTCGTATAACAGAACCTGAAAGCACAGTCTAATAGAGTCTTAATGATTTCTCTTTTAGTCGATTTATGGTGGTTGGATTCCTTTTTCAGGTACTATCCCGTGTGGGTAGGTTTTCGATATACAGATTTTTCCCACTTAGTGTCGGTCCTCTTCACCAATACGTCTGAGAATGGCAATTCGTTGTGGAATTCCTTCTCCATTGTGAAAGTGATGGAAAGTCTTACGCTGTAGTTGTATTTCAGGAACGCGTGTAGTTCAGTATTCCCATGATTCCATATCATGGAGGTGTCGTCAACATATCTCAAACAGACATGAGGATTCTTGTAGGCTTCTTCAATGGCCAGAGTTTCCAACCACTTTATATATATGTTGGCTATGATTGGTGAGAGTTGCGTTCCCATTGGCACTCCCTTATCTTGTGTGAAGAATTCGTCCTTCAGTTGGAAATAACAGTTTAGTACACAACATCCCAGTAATTCCATAATTACTTCTATAGGTACATTCGTTCCATCTTTCAGGTTCTCGTCTTCGGATAGCTTCCTCTTTATGATTTGGAGTGCTTCTTCAACTGGAACGTTGGTGTGAAGGTCTTCCACGTCGAAACTAATCTTGGTCTTCCTGTGTGACTTCAATTGCCCCTAGTAGTTCGACAAAATGCCTTGAATTCTTAACAAAAAACGATGTTTGTCCTTGTAATGGTCGTATTACGGGTAGTAAAATCTCTGGAGCTGATGTTCGGTCTGAGGGGAACGTCCTCCTTGTGAATTTTGGGTAGTTCATACAAGTGAGGGGGCTTACTGTGGTGTGATGTTAGCGACGATCTCTCCTTGTCCGAAAAATAGACCTGGTGTTTTTTCAAAATCTGGTACAACTTCCTTTCAATTGATGCAGTAGGGTCCCGTAAGATCTTGGTGTATTGTTCTTCAGAAGAACCTTTTCGATCTTCTGTTTGTACAGAACAGTGTCTATCACCACAGTAGCGTTTCCTTTATCTGCAGGTAAGATCTTGATAGTGTCGTCTCTAAGTACGCCGTTCAGAGCTATACGTTCTTCATTGCTGATGTTAGATGTTGGAACTGGTTCTCGATCCAGCTGTTCTCTGATTTTTCATCTGAATTCTTCTGCCTCGGTCTGGTCAATAAGGAAACTGGTGGAATCCACGGCAGTTATTATCTAATTTGCTTAATATAATTATTATTTTCAACTATTCATTTTTAATTCTTCGTTTTTAGTTCTCTCAGGGAGTTCAAATCATTTTATATAATATCAGACAATGAAAGTCCGAACTAATGAAATTCATCGAGCTGGTTATGTTATGTTAAGTTAGGTTAGTATAGGTTAGGTTAAGGTTAGGTTAGGTTAGGTTAGGTTATGTTGAAAGTGTTGCGTTTTAGAGTGAAAAATGGAAAAATATAGGTGGTGCCATCTGAAATGAAGTAGCGTAATTAATATTCGATCATAGCGCTATTGAATGTAGAATAGCGGAATTGAGTCAGTTTAGGTTAGGTAAGGATAAGTTAGGTTAGGTTTTGGGTTAGACAGTGACTAGGGAGGAGGAAAGGGAAGGATGGCTTTCAGTTGGGTTAGTTGGGAAGATGAACTTGGAAGTTAGGGTGGTGACTTGGAGTTTGGGTAAGACAACCACCGTATTAAGATGGACTTGGTGGTTGGGTAGTCTTGTTGGGTTAGGTCGTTTGGGGTGGACCTGGAGATTAGGGTGGTGATTTGTTGGGTTAGGCATTTGTGGTGGACGATGTGAGGTTGACTTCCTGCATATGCTGTTGGAACACACTTGCAGATCGGTTTCGGGCTGTTTGGCCACTCGTCAGTGCAAGGTAGTGTATATCATCAACGTAAAGTCGATGATTTTCGATAATCGGATACAATCCAACGCCCTTCGTGGTATTAGCCAGGGGAGTAGTTGTTTTCTGATGGGTGTCAGCGCATTAACCTACTGTGTAGGGAGTTGAAACTGGCCTGAACGAATTGTTCTCTTTGATAATTTGATTTACAGCCAGTCTTCAAGTATGCCCGCTGACTATATGTGAAAAAAAAATTGTCGTTTTTGTTGGAAAAATATTGCGGTTTAGTCTTCAAGAATGTGAACCATTAGGATTTCGAAGAGAAATGAATACATTTTTTTTTCATCATTCAGAGAGTGTGTTTTGGGTTGTTCTCCGAGAGCATAAATCCAATAGAATTGTAATTTTCATTTCAACAAAAGAAATGGCAACAAAAAACCTCGTTTTTCATCATCATCAGAAAGTGGTTGTAGGTAATGCGGGTTACAATCCCCTTATGACTACACTAATATTTATTTATTTATATATTCGGGATACAAACAGAAAAAAATCCACTACAGTATCCACATAATTGAATTAATATTAAATTAGAGTAATATCTATACTACACATGTACACAGTGTCTAAAGTAAGGGATGAATTAAAATCAAATACAATAACAATAAAAACTGATTAATAGTTATTGACGAAATGTGTTAATTATAATTTATGAAAATAATCTTTCAATATTTTTTTGGCAGTAAGCAAAGAAGTATTAAAAATATCGAAGTAGTTTGCGAGAGAATTACCCCATTTAACGCATCGACATAGAGGAGAGTTCTGCGAACAGTTTGTTCTCTTGAAAGATAAATTAAATAATTCATGTGCTCTCATTGTTCTATTTGGAACATTTAAGTAAATGATTGATAATAACAATGGACAATTTATTTTGTTTGTTATAATTTTTTGTAAAAATAAAATATCTGATATGTTACGCCTATGTTCCAACGATACTAACTGGATGTCTCGTCTAATTCGCAAAGTATCACTGTTTTCAGAAATTCGAATACCTTGTTTGTAAGCAACGAGTTTAAAAAATCGATTTTGAATACGTTCTAATCGATCGATGTATATATTATACTGTGGACTCCAGATGGTTGATGCAAACATTAACTTACTTAATACAAAAGCATCATAGAGATTTTGTATGATTGAAGAATTTACATTTTCTCTTGACATATCCCAGAGCTCTACTGCTCTTATTTATTACATAATCTATATGTTTATCGAAAATAAGTTTGGAGTCAAAAATAACTCCTAAATCTTTAAATGTATTAACTCGTGACAGCAAGATATTATTTATGTGATATGAATATGTAAGAATATTTTTGTTGCGGGTGAATGATATACAACTACGTTTGGAAAAATTGAGATATAATTCGTTTTGTTTAAAAAATTCAAACAAATTATTTATGTCTCTCTGAATTCTCAAGCAATCTGACAATGATTTTATTTGAAGATAAATTTTCAGATCATCAGCATACATTTAGAATTTGGCATTTTTAAAACATTGTTTAAGAAAAGGTTTAGAAAATCAACTGACTTATGTAGGTAGAGGTCAAAATTTAATATTTTTATTTCGTCATTATTGTGTGATGTCTATTCTTCTCAATGGGTGATTGGAGACCAAGTTCCCGACCTCAAGTCCATTTTTGAGTTACAGAGGAAACTAATTTCTGTTGGAAAACCATGTATCTATTCAACTATAAAATATCATTCGCATTGACCTACAGTCCAACACGTATGTGGATCACATGCGACCTCTTCGTAAATCCAGCGTAATAACGCGGCTTAGGATTCCAGCTCATTAAATCAGGTAACCAAATTAAGGACTATCAGAAACTACCAAAGCCTGGAACGCTGTTATTCCGCTTCCTAATCATTGCACGGACGCCTTTGCGAATAGCCGCTTTCTACATTTTTATTGCCCACTAAAATTTCCATTTATTCATATTTTAACGGCTTTGCATTTTACGCTCGTTTTAAACGACACTTTTTTATTTATGCCTTCCGGAATAATGTTTCAATATCCTCTGCCATTTGTAATTCGTAAAAAATACATTTCGATGCTATATATGACTTCATAAAGTGTAGATAAACGGTTGATAAATGTGCGATCTATTCGATTGGAAGCCGATATATCGTGAATTGTAGGTGATGTCTGAGTTTTATCGTTATTTTCCATTCAGTCGGTGTTTGTGCAACGAAAGATTCACTTTACGGTAGTCTTCGCTGTTTCTCTGACAGCAGATCATGATGATGAATGATTACATTGTTGAAAAGAAGCGTTTAAAGCTTGGTTTCGATGATTCTGGATATAGTCAATGAATTCACGTTGAATATCAAAGAAATATCAAAGAGACCAAAAGGGAAGAATTATCCCATCATAAAAAAAATTGATTATTTGTCTGTTTGTCTCATCGAGACAAACACTGCTACTGAGTTACATGATTGGTGTCAGAAAAATGAACTTTCATCAAACATAGGCAAATGTAAAATTATGACTTTTACAAGGAAATCCTCAGTACAAATATTGGATAATATAACATTGGCAAGAATTACCGAATCGAGAGATCTGGGTATTATCTTTGATGAAAAACTAACGTTCTCGTCACATATCGAAGAAATAACATCCCGTGCAATGAAAATGTTAGGATTTGTTATGCGTAATAGCAAAGAATTCTCATCATTAGAGGCAATTAGCTCTATATATTATTCATTGGTCAGAAGCAAACTGGAATATTGTAGCTCCATATGGAATCCTTGTCAGAGAAAACATATGTATTGTATTGAAGCTGTACAAAAAAAGTTT